CAGAGTCAAACTCACAGGAAACCGGCTGGGTGGTAATGATCAGTTCCCTAATCTAATCTTTAGTTTCTGTGAAAAGAATAACAATATATCTTTCCCTTAAAATTCCATACTCAGTTCTCTGAAGACGTGCATACAATTCATTTACATGATGGCTAACAGTTTTATTGTTTTCTCCACTCAGGTGATACTTTTTGTCAGTTAATTGACGAATACCTTAGAAGGGCTCTACATAAAGGAGTACCTCCACTGTTTGTAAATATCAAGTCAATTTATAAAGACAAAGAAAAGATACCTGCAATAGAGAAGATTGTTCTGTCTTATTTAGAGTCGTTAGAAAAATATTGTACATTTAGTCCAGCTGGTGAGTAACTCGTATACAGCGTGGTTAAATCCATATATCATGAATTATTTCGCTTGTTTACTCGTACATTTGCCTAATGACCTAGTTTAAGATAGTGAACTGGTTGTAAATTTTGTGCTAAAAATATTATTAATATCAGAAAATGGATTTCTGCTGTACATGAATCGATGTCATTCAAAGTTGAACATCATGGGACCTTGATGGACATGTTTATTTGTTGTATTCAACCGATCGCATTGCCAACTGGCTACTATTGGGTTTTAAAGGTTATGAGGACAGGGCTCAAAATTACCAATTCTATTTAAAAAATGCAAAAAAAATATGCACCAAGCTGGATGGTTCATGGATAAGCTTTTATTCAAATCTGACATTTAGAGTGGTCGCTTTCACCTCATGAAAATAAACTTACATATGTTGACTGTTTGTATTAATTCTCTAATTAAGATCACAACATGCAGGATTTATTAAAATCAGTTGTAGATTACAAACTTGTTTGTTTTCATTTCTTGTACAGATGCTGAAAAACCAGATTATGACAAGGAACCGCCAACAGCCTATTTATGGACGTTGTTTTACTTAGCTCAGCATTATGATTATCTAAGAGAGACGACAAAGGCACTCAAGTATATTAACATTGCATTGGATCATACCCCAACTCTTATAGAATTGTTCGTGGCAAAGGGAAGAATCTATAAGGTTTGTCAATTAGTGTCATAATCAAAATCCTCTCTTCATGATCACTCTGAAAATTGGTTGACATGCAAAATATGCGTAATTTCTTTAATGTTGACGGTATATGAATGTTTATACAATGTCGTTGATTTTCCCCTCAGAAAAGCTCATAGTTTAATTTTGTTGCAGCATGCCGGTGATATCAAAGAATCAGTGGCCTGTTTGGATGAAGCTCAGTCTCAGGACACTGCGGATAGATACATCAATTCAAAATGTGCAAAATATATGCTACGTGCTAATCTGGTGAAAGAAGCAGAAGAGATGTGTGCTAAATTCACTCGGGTAAGTGAACATGTGTGTTTTCAATTATGACTGTTAAATCAGTTTGAAGCCCCACGGTAATCATGCAATGCGATTTACACATGTCACATGGGACCCACTTGGAGTAAATAGAAGGAAGTCACTTTTGTATATTCAGGTATATTCGTCTGCATCAATATTCATATTTTATCCTTACTGACATTCCAAGAGATGTCAGATTCTGTACCGAGATACAATTCAATGCATTTATTATTTTTTTTGTCCGTTGACAGGAGGGTGTGTCTTCCATGGATAACTTGAATGAAATGCAATGTATGTGGTTCCAAATAGAATGTGCTAAATCATATCAGCGAATGCACAACTACGGTGAAGCTTTGAAGAAATGTCATGAAATTGACAGAGTAAGTATGAATTCTCTCACTCAAAAACTGCCTTTAAACCTTTCCCCTCTTCCTTCAGTGGTACATTATGTCACACTAAGGCAGATCCCTAATGCTTACAATTTTACAGAAGGGCTGACAATGACAATGGCTGACAGCTAAAACTGTTCAATTTTTCGCAATTTTCTTTATTAATTTTCTACATATTACCTCAGTGTGCATCTTCCCATTTTTTTTTTGTGTTCATACATTTTTTTGGGTGTCCAACAACATTCAAGCCAGGCCAACAACTTTTCAACTTGTAGGCCCTGTATTCTATCAACTTTTTGACATTAGGGGAAAATACTGGATACACATATACTATGCTATGAGGTTATTACGAGTGCTTACTTTGAGGTATTCTTGTAATAACCTTAATGCATCTTTTCTTTTCAAGGATACGTCATGGGAATGCCGAAATCCAAAATGTTTAGAACAGAATCAGCAAACTTTTTTGTGTGGAGCCTGATCAAACCCTAGTGGCAGCCATGTTTGTTTTTATTATTAGAGGATGGTTACACACGTAATCATTCCATATTTGGAATTCTCATTTCCTAATATGGTAGGATGAAAATCCCTTGTAAAATAACGTAAAATTACGGCACTCTGTAACTTATGGTGACAGATGTATAATAATATACTATATTTGTTCCATGAGAGGCACATGTCAGCCAAAACATTCGTTTGAATGGTATTTTAAGTACATCAAATTGAGTGATCCATTTACATTAATATTTTAACATGAAATTTATATTCGTAAGCATATATACTTTTTGTTATTTGCCAACATTTGGTAATTCAGGGAACATTGGCTGTTGTTTTTCTGCTACTATGTTCTACCGTCCGTCCGTCCGTCGGTTAATTATGGTTCTATATCTTTTTTTTCCAGCATTTTTCTGAAATTATTGAAGATCAGTTTGATTTTCATACATACTGTATGCGTAAGATGACATTACGTGCATATGTTGGGTTACTGAGACTAGAAGATGTTATTCGCTATCACCCTTACTACTTCAAAGCAGCTAAGATAGCAATTGAGGTAGGTGTACACCTGGTGTACCTAGTGTCATTGGCCAATCAGTGACAGTTTGGTACATCCTGATCACTTGAAGTTTACATGCAATGTAGTGGATTATTACAATTATTGAAAGTTGATGTTTAAAATTCAACCAATTCTGCTACTAAAGATATTTCAAACCAAGCATTGGTTTGATTACAATGATAATCACGTTTCCTGCTATTGTGCTGAAGACGAAAATCAGCTTCTGGTAAAAATGAACAATTATCAAAATATCAATCTAAAATTATATCAGGAACTCAAAGCAAATTGTGTTATTTTGAGTGAAGTAAAATGTGAAAAAATTCCTGATGTTAAAAAACAACGCATTAACAGATCTGACATTGGAAAAGTTAATTGCAAATAAAAAGGTCATGTTATTACTCGTCTTCCTTTTGGTAAATTATAAAGACATGGCATTGTCACTGATTTTGTTTTGTATTATCTCACAGGTCTACATTGATATTCATGATCATCCACCGACGGACTCTGATAAAACTGAAGAAATTGACACTGAAAACCTAACTCCTAAAGAATTGAAGAAGTTGCGAAGTAAACAGAGGCGAGCAGCGAGGAAGGCTGAAGAGAAAAAGAAAGAAGAAGAAAAGGCTGAAAGTAGACACCAAAATAAAAACAAACATGATACTGAGATGGATGGGCCTAAAGAGGAAGAATTGGTGCCTGAAAAACTGGCAAAGGTCAGCTAATGTTATCATTCCTAATTCAAGAAAACCCTTGATATTGTACATATTCTGTGTCACATAAAGTGTTCTTAACTTGGTCCTAAATCAGTTACCCTATTTGCTGTATTATATTTGTATGCACTTCATATAAATGGCTTGTTAAAGTCCTGCAGAGACCAAATCTGTGATACTTCATGTGGTTGCATCTCTGAACTCTGATCTTGTAGCAAACCGTGGTCAGTGACAATCCAAATGAATTTTTCTTTCTCTTTACAGGTTGATAAACCATTAGAACAAGCAATTTATTTTCTAAAGCCACTTCAAGAATTTACATCTCATTTAGTTGATACTCATTTATTAGCATTTGATATCTACTACCGTAAAGGTATGTGTTTTTTTAAATTGCCATGCGACTTAATCTGAGCATGACTTAATGACTAGCAGGTCCTAATGAAATTATGGATATGAACCATGTGTTTGTCCACTAACTAGGTGGAACAAAAGAGCATTCAGTGCATGGGAAGGAATTCTGTTTCATTGTTGTAAAATTAGTGGAACTTTCTCTCATGAATGACTTGTTAACTTTTGGCTTAATAGGCCTACTGCACATGAAATGGCTTGAATTCTTGGATACTACAAGTCACCTTGATGTCCTTCAAAGTAAATATTTACTTTGCAATTTCAATTCATTTCTAGTTATTGGTCATAGAAGGCCCGCTGAAAGTTACAATGTATTCTGTGATTTGGAATATGTATTAACTACATACTTATCTGGTTGACATTGTTTGGTTATACTTCATGATTTTAAACATTGTACTGGTCATGAATATTTAGAACATGGCCTGGGCTTCCATCCCTCAATATTAATATTCTATGTTTTTCTTTCCAGATAAATTACTATTAATGTTACAGTCAATAAAAAGGATTTGGAATATTGATTCTAACAATAGCAGACTGCATTTCTGTGTTTGTAGATTTGTTAAAGCAGGTATGTGTTGCACGTGTTAATCATGTTGCTCTGTTGTTGAATTGCGGTGATCGTCGCACAATGCGTGTTTCAGTTTCATGTAAATAATGTATTTTACACATTCCAGTGTTCTCCACGAGGGGTTTTAGCAGGGCGCAGCGCCCTGTATAGGAAGTCGTGCGCCCTGCATAGGTACTCGTGCGCCCTGCATCGGTCAACAAGCGCCCTGCATTCACATTTCCCGCTCCGATCAAATACATTGTATTGTTAGTTGAGTATTCAGTGTTCTCCACGAGGGGTTTAAGAGGGACGAAGCGCCTCTCTTTAATTTATTTTGGCCCCCCTCCAATTTGTAGCACCCATCTATTTATCTTCAGCACCCTCCTTTGTTTTCGGTGACAGGCTGTTTCACAGTCCCGGAAGATGTCCCGACGACGTTATTGAGAGACCTCTTAAACTGACAGGCAGTAAAACAAAGAACTAAGAGATAGATAGTGGCATAGGTGACAACTAGGACAATGGATTTGATGTCTGGGGAAACACTGGCTGAATAAACAAAAAACAATGAATGCATGCGTGAAGTGATTGTCACCAGCATTGCGTTAATCACACAATGGGATAGTCAAAACAAGTTTTCTCATCATTCCTGAATTAGCTGAGATTCTTAAGAACAAGAGAACCAGCAACAATTTATTGGTTCAATTGCTTGTTGTTTGCCTTTTATTGGCGAAAAGTAAAAAGAATCATTAAATAAATCACCAAAACAAAATGTACGGTAAACACTGAAACAACATGGATGTCACAGTATCTGATTTAACCTTTGTCCTCAGTACCCACAATGCAATCAACATAATGATTAATTTATTTACAGTCATCGGATTTGATTTTTTCTTTTTCTTTTAATCTTATGTGAAAATATTTTTCTTATTACTTGGGGTTTTCAACTATTACAATATCTCAGTGCATTTATAAAACCTATGGAAATATTTGGAAGAAATTTAAAAGAAATAAATGAAAGGCTAGAATTTCACAACTTGTTCCATTACACTTTTACAAAGAATAAAATTGATATTCTTCATTTGTCAAGGTTTATATTTTTTTTACACATCAAGTGGTTTAACTTATTCATCAAAATAATTCAAGAACATTAATTACACAGTATTTAATTGATGTACCGTAAATATAATAAAAGTGCTAAGAATTTCCTTTGAAATGTTTGATTAGTATGCTAATTATATGCAAATTAAATATGCTAATTATATGCAAATTAGCGCCCCTCTTTAAATTTTATTTGCGAAGAACACTGCATTCTGTGTATGTCATTAGAAATTTCCATATCTGATCACAAATTCACAAAATAGTCTCGTTGACAGTCTGCGCTTTCCGTCAGAACATTGGGACAAAAATTGAGTAAAAACTAAAAATTGACTCAAATTTTGCCTGTTTGCTCCAAAATTTGTGTTCATTTCCAGAAATATTGAAAATATAAGAAAAAAATGCAGAAAAATTTGGGTGAGAAAGTCGGGTGGTGAAAAGGTTAATGTGCAAATTACCTTCTTTGTTGTAAACGTTTTATAAATGTAACTTTTTATAAAGCAAAATGACTGGTAGAATACAAAATCCAAAAACAATATGGCAACATCATTGAAAGTTAAGATAAATAATAGGTTAACTCAACAGAGCTGTTTATATAGGTGCTTGTCAGTCATTGTTCGTCAACCAACTTTTCCATCTTCATCACCAGCTCAATTGCTTTGATACTTGGTATGCGTGGGCCTCTATCAGATTTATTCATTTTGTGACGATATCTTCAGTTCTCTATTTTTGGCATTTTTGTAATTTGTTATCAAAAATATTATTGTTGACTTGATATTGATACTTGATGTAGATACTTGATATACGTGTATTTTGGATGGACCTCTACTGGATTAGTTCATTCAAGGCTCTGCTGAAACAGTGGAGCTATTTTGACAGGTCACTTGTTGCCTTTTACTATACTGTGAAGGTATACTTGACATTAATTTAATTTAGTCTTTATTTACTTTATTTCAGTGGAAGACAAAAAGGATATTGCTGATGCTGTATCTAGTGTAATCAAACAAGAACTCAAGAAACTGATTGGGGACCAAGATATGAAGACATTTAATGAGGAATTTATAGCCAGGAATCCAAATTCTTTAGAACATATTATAGCAGGTAAAGCTCTTTATTGAATATCCCTAAAATTACAACTGGCTGTGAAGATAACTCCTGTAACTTTATTAAGTCAAGCAAGTT